TAAGAAATTTTCATTTACAGGCGAGTCCCACATATACCCAAATACAAACATATTTAAAATCCATTTTATTCCAAATGCCCAACAGTCTGTTCCGTTTTCAGCCCACAATGAGGTAAAGAAAATTTGTGATTATGGCATACTTAAATTTGAATAGGCCTATAACTTTCCTTATAGAGTATCTCGATTAAAAAAAAAAAGTTAATAAATGGATTAAAATATCCTTCTATGTAACCCGGAAATGACACTCCAAATGTGGCGGTCCAGGAAGTCGAAATAGAGGATACCCGTGGAGGGTTAAGCGCAAATAAAATGTCCACTAACCTCGTCCCCACAACTGTTCGGGTTGAGGTAAGAAAAAAAGTATGAATAATGCACCTCCAGATGGCCGGAAATGGCATCTCAGCTTAAAAGCTGAATACAATTTTGTCTGTTTTCTCCATTTTTTTTTTATAATTTTGAAAAAATTAGGAGGTTGGGGGCCCATGATGACTGGGTTCCCTTGAATCTGGCACTGTTCGAAATAACACTAGACATAGCCTATCATTTTGTATCACAAACGATAATTTTCAATAATGTCAAGCGAATTTTTTTTTTTATTCAAAGGATTTCTTTTACTAAATAATTTTTACAACCTATAAAACATTAACTACAGTTAATTGTAAATTTTGTTATAGTTCACCTTCAGAACTTTATTAAAAAAAATGGCCTAAATAATTAACTTATTGTTTTCGTTAAATTAGATGGAGTAGTATAGTGAAAAAATGGGCCCCCGTGACCATTTTTCGGGGACCAAGGTTTCTCTGCTGATTTGGCCTTACTAGTGTATAAATAAAAAAATGAGCGGGGGTGAGCCTCCTGAAAAAGGGCGGAACATGTTTTTTGGCGGCCATTTTTAAAATAGCCGCCAAAATCAAGAGAATGGCTCATAACTTTACTTCTACTCCATGAAAAAGGGTAAATATGGTGTCTAACTATATGTTATAAGGGTCACTGAATTCAATTAGACATGTTTCAAAAACCTAGGATGGCAGCCATTTTGAAATTCAAGATGGCTGCCATAGTAATCGTTGAAAATCAAATATTCCAGTATAATTCCACTTCCTGTCGTTGAAAAATGGTAAATATGATGTCTACTCATATGTAATTAGGCTCTCTGAGTCCAATAAGAATAACTTCCATAAGCTAGGATGGCAGCCATTTTAAAATCCAAGATGGTCACCACATAAATTGTCAAAAATCAAATATTTTGGTATATAATTGCATTTCTCCTCGCTTAAAAATGTTAAATTTGGGGTCTAATCATATGTTATTCACATCCTTGAGTCCAATGAACATAGTTTCAAAAACCAAGCATGTCAGCCATTTTGAAATTCAAGATGGCTGCCGTAATAATTGTTGAATATCAAATATTCCAGTATATTTCTACTTCTTATCGTTGAAAAATGGTAAATTTGATGTATTCTCATATGTTATTTGGCTCTGCAAGTCAAATAAGCAATTTCAATAAGCAATGGCATCCATTTTAAAATTCAAGATGGCCACCACAAAAATCGTCGAAAATCAAATATTTTAGTATATAATTGCACTTCTCCTCTATAAAAATGTTAATTTGGTGTTTAATCATGTTATTGAGCTCACTAGTCCAATGAGCATAGTTTGAGAAAGCTAGAATGTCAGCCATTTTGAAATTCAAGATGGCTGCCGTAATAATCGTTGAAAATAAAAATCT